GATCGAGCTATCTCATAAGACCTCTTCTGTCCGGTACGGCAGCCCGCGGTAGCTTCTCCCCAGCTCGACGTGAGCAGTGCTCCTATCGGCTAGGTCGTCACGGACAGAGGAGCGGGAGGGGACCAAGGAGCCCTTGAGGTGCGAGCTGCGGAGGTTCCGAGCGCTGAGGATGCTCTTGACGTTGGTCATGTGCTTGTTGGGGTCGGAGACGATCTGCACAGGAGTGAGGCGAGAAGATGAGAGAGGAAGAGGAAGGGAGGGAAGGAGTGGTGAAGGTGGAAGAGGAGCACACATGGAGGGGACGAGGGGGAGGGGGAGGAGGAGGAGCGGGAGGAGGAGGAGGAGGAGGATCTAACCTTCTCGCCGAATTGCAAGACCGAACGCCCACCGGTGAAACCCATGGAGCGGCAGACAACCTCCGCGTTAGACTGCGACCATCCCTGATCGCAAACTGTTCCCCACACCATGTTGTGCTGAACCTCGAGCCGGCTGATGGAAAAGGTCAGAGAGAGAAGGAGGAGAGAGCTGAGAAAGGAGGGCGTGCATGGAAGAGAAGAGGGAGGGAGAGGGAGACAAGAGTAAGAGGAGGGGAGGCGAGACGAGGAGAGGAGAGGAGAGGAGAGGAGCAAGAATGAGCAAGAAAGAGAGGAGGGAGGGAGAGAGAGGGTCTAGAGGTTTTGAAGTGACTGACCATCCCAACGAGTTGCAATCGATGAGTCTCGTATAGGTTGTCGGCGATACCCCGCCTGCACACGCCTGTATGTCTTGACCCTGCGGTCCCGGAAGTCCCGGCGGCCCCTGACAGGATGTGAGAGGAGGAGAGAAAGTTGTGGAGATGGAAGGGACGAGAGCAGGAAGGAAGAAATATGGAAAACAGCAGCAGCGAACGAGGGGAGGAAGGCAAGAAAGGAGGGAGAGTGAGAGAGGCTCTGTTGCAGCACCTGCAGCCCTGGAGGGCCCGGAACTCCGATCTGTCCTTGCATGCCGTTGGGTCCAGGAGGTCCCGGGGGTCCCATCGGCCCAGGGTTTCCAGTCTCTCCCTTGGCCCCAGCGTAGCCGTTCCGTCCCTTGAGCCCGTCGGAGCCATCGATGCCGGGATGACCCTGCGGTCCAGGAGGGCCAGGAGGGCCAGGAGGAGGCTCTATCCTTGCGATCTGAGTGCGGAAATTCTCCGAATCCTGCTCCAGCTCTTCTTGAGCCTCTTCTACCAT